ATAGCCGGGGGTGCACAAAAAAAAAAAAAAAAAAAAAAAAAAAAGAGAAACGACAGAAGAAAGACAGTGAGGAAGAAGAAGGTGAAGGAAGGGGAAGAAGTGACGAGGGTGACAAAGGTGAAGGTGCCGGCAGCCATAGCCGAGGTGAAGGGTTGACCGGGGGTTGACCAGGGGTTGACCAGGCATTGACCAAGGGGTTGACTGAGCGTTGACCAAGAGTTGTCCGCGTTGACTCAGCGTTGACAAAGGCGTTGACCGGAGCTGCTGACCAAGATTTTGACCAAGCTGGAGTTGGTGATATCTCGCTGAGCCCTTAGCCTATCCCCTTACCCTGTGGATGTGCACATACCCTACGGTACTTGCTGAGTCAGAGTCTGTCTGTCTTTCCTTTCTGCATTGAGTCTCTTTTGTCCTAGGTGTTAGGACTGTGAATGAAGGATAGGGTTGGATGACGAAACCTTAGTCTGACTTTGTAGGGCTGATGCTGGGGCTGATCCAACTTTCCAGGGGGGCATAACCCTCCCAAGGACCGGTACTGACCGGCTGGAAGCGGTTGGTAGGACTCAGTGGGCCTGAACGGCAGCTTTAAGTATTGAGGGCATGTTTGAACCACCCCCCTACCGGACCCAGTAAGGTTGATGATCTGTGTCTGACGACTCGACTGACCCGGGGGACACGAACCCCTCCAAGGACCGGTACCGACCGGCGGGCTGCTCGGTGTGGCACAGTAGGTCGGAAAGGCTGAGTTGTGGGTTGAAAGCACAGGCAGAACCACGCTGATCACGTCGTCCTGACTGCGACGTTAAAGAACTATTGCGGAGTTTGGGGGATCTCCTTAAATGCCTCCAGATCAGCTGTTGGTTCAGTAGTGACAGCCTTAGAGTAGTTTTGAGTAGTGATCTTAGAAAGTCAGTCAGTAGGTCAGTGTCCGGGTAGGTCTAAGTGGTAAGGAGTGGGACACTTGTCGTGCACCTGACACCACGATGGATGACTATCCGATGTATGGGTTGCTTGTTGGGTTCTCCCTCTGGGGGACCCTTTGGCGTCTCCTCTTTCCTCTGGGCTTCTGGCACACTTTTACGTGTAGGGTAGACACCCGGGGTGGTACCTCCACTAAGCCATATTCGAAGGAGGAGGAGGAGAAGATGACCGCCATTCTGAGGGAAAGAAAAGAGAAGAAAGAGGCCAAGAAGAAGGCCCTACAGGAGGAGCAGGCAGCCAAGTTGAAGAAGATAGAGGAAGAGATGGCCAGAGAGAAGGAGAGAATAAAGAAAGAAGAAGAGGAGAAGCTGAAAGAGGTGGAAGAGGAAGAGGAGGAAGATGARACGMCACTGCAAAGGAAGAGAGGGCAGTASAGTGGCAACARAGATGATGAGATGGAGARACGGATTTCGGAGTGGGTCGCCAACTTATCCCTGGGCGAAGAAGAAGAAGTGGCGATGTATATCCCCAAGGATGATCAGGAAGCCGCTATGARAGYTTGGGACRYAGAAGAAGATGTCATAAAGCGGCAGGCGATGGAAGATGAGAAGAGGATGGAGTGGAAACTGGCAGTGATGAGGGAGAAGAAGAGGAGAGTGGACGCCGCAACAGATGCGGCGGAAGAATTGGAGGAGGTAAAAAAGATAGAAGAGCAATTAGCCGCCCAGGCTGAACTCCCAAAGAAAATGGAGGTCATAGCCCGAAACGTTACACGCTTAGTGCGAATTCCGGCAGAGCAATATGACTTCAGTAGGAGTCAGCATATAGCTGTGCGTTCAATACGGTTGGGATTTCGGGACTTTGCTCGCGAATTGGTGGGAGCTGTTGGAGCCGAGGTGGGCCATCGCCTCGACAAAACTGAGCGATTTTGTGCAGGCGCCATTGAAGGCGTCAAGGCGGCCGCTCCCAAGGAGGAGGAAGCACGTCCTCACCGGGAGCCGGTCAAAGTCAAATTCACTGATTCCTATAGTGGAAAACGGGAAGAGAACTTTGATAATTGGGAAGCCAATGTCAAGACCTATGTGCATCTGCAACAGGTCTCCCCGGATCAGCATGTTCTAATTGCGATCCACGCGCTTAGAGATGAGGCCGCCAGCTTCGCAAGGTCCCTGGTTCGTGCTTCCAATTGCAATGATGATGCAGTTGCGTACTCGTCGTTCACTCCCCTCATCGATTTCCTGAAGTTGCTGCGCGAGCGATTTGCTGATGTCGCTCGTAGTGTTAAGGCCTCAGACAGGCTGCAGACGATCCACTCTCGTCAGTGGAAGAGTGCCAGGGCACTCAAGAGCACAATGGATGAATTGGTGGTTGTACCTAACCACGGGGTCACCGACACCCAGTTGGTTGCCCTCTTCTATCGGGCTATGCCCGAAGCCTTTCGAGGGCACTTCTTCGCGAAGAGCGAAGACCCTACCACCACTTACGATTCCCTTAGCCCTGAGGTGGTAGCCTTCGAGGCAAAGTCCGTGTCAGTTTCCACCTTCTGGCACAAAGATTTGGACAAAGGCAAGAAGTGGAAAGGCCGCACTATCTCTGGGCAAGTGAAGACTAAGGATAGTCTTGTCCTAACTCTAGATGAGGGTAGTGTGGATGAGATCCCCTACGATCAGATTGAGTGGGGGTTAGAGGAGGAGGACAACAGTGTGGGCCAGGGGAGGACTTACGCTGCTGTCACGGCTGGAGGGAGGCCGCAAGGAGGAGGACGAGGCCAGGGCCAAGGGGGCGGGGCCTCAGGGAGCCGGTTTCAAGGCGATCAGGGGGTTGGCGGCAGAGGAGGAAATCGCCAAGCGGGAGGAAGGGGTCAAGGTCCCCCGCAAAACCGTCCTAGGAACAGGTCTCCATATAGGGTAGGAGGATGGCACCCAGGGCTACCGTAGGGAAGGCCTTGGGAAACTTTGGGTCTGGACCAGAGTTTATGGCAACAGCGGTTGGACCGGGGCCAGTGCATTTTCTGCGGTGACCCGGGCCATATCATCAAATACTGTCCAAAGTATCGAGAGACCCGAACGGCTGCTCAAGGTCCAAAAGGCAGCCGCCGGTAGGGGTAGCAACTGCCCTTACCACAAGGCCATGTGGGGAAAATAGCGCTAGCCGGCAGGAGACTCCCACACCACATGTGCCTATGGCAGAGGTTGCAGGCCTGTGTCTAGATAGCTGTCCAGAGACTGCTTGTGTTAGAGTCTCTCTAGACCCATCCCTCACAGGCGTGGCCGAAGAGTTGAAGGAGAGGATGCCCGCCTGGGCCATGATGAGAAAGGAGAATAAGGGGCAACTTATTTTAGTGGATACCAAGATTTTTAGAGGTAGAGTTGGTGCCTTAGTGGATAGTGGAGCCACTCGTAGTTATATCAGTAGGAAGGCGCTACAGAGGCTGAAGTTGCAGTTGAAAGTCCAAAAGTTAACAGACCCCGTAGTCAGTATCCTTGCGGATAATCGCACGATGCGAGTAGAAGACTACGTAGAGGGAGTCCAGGCGCATTTTCGCCTAGAGAAGGATGGGAAAGTAGAGAAAGTTCTCCATTCCCTGACTCTCCTCGTAGAGGATAGCCTCCCATTCGATATAGTCCTGGGTATGGACTTGGGAGAGGCAGGCGGGGCCACACTCCACTTGAGGGAGCATGAGTGTAGGCTCCCTAGCCCGTCAGGCGATGTCAAGACTGCGCGTCTGTACCATGTGTCAGGAGTAGATGACTCCTTGGCACATTGCTGCCTTAGTGCTCCTGCATTTGCACGACTAGTGAAAAAGGAGCAGCTAGAGGAACAGGTCTTTGTAGCCTATGTTAGGCCAGTCACTGAGCCTAAGGAAGAAAAGCCTATACACCCTGCTATTGCCAAGTTGCTGGAAGAGTTTAAGGACCTAGCTGAGTCGCCGACAAGGACAGTGCCGCAGCCCATCCAACACTGTATAGAGATAGAGCCTGGCAGTAGAACTCCTAAGGGCGCTGTGTATTGGATGTCCCCGCGGGAATTGGAGGAGCTTCGCAAGCAGTTGGACGAGCTCCTTGAAAAGAGTTGGATTAGGCCCAGTTCATCTCCTTTTGGAGCACCTGTTCTCTTTGTCCCCAAGAAGGAGGGAGAGTTAAGGATGTGTATAGACTATAGGGGTCTAAATGCTATCACAGTGAAGAATGCTAAGCCACTGCCTAGGATAGATGATCTTCTAGATAGAGTGCAGGGGTGCAAGTATTTCTCTAAGATAGATTTGAAGTCTCGATATCATCAGATAGAGGTTCACCCTGATGATCAGTACAAGACCGCGTTCCGGACTAGATACGGGCACTATGAGTTTATTGTGATGCCCTTTGGACTAACCAATGCGCCAGCAACCTTTCAGCGGTGTATGAATGACTTGTTTAGGCCGTGGTTAGACAGATTTGTTGTAGTTTACTTAGATGACATTCTAGTGTTTAGTAAGACCCTCGAAGAGCATCAGGGTCATCTCAGGCAGGTCTTGGAAAAGCTGAGGGACGCTAACTTCAAGATCAACGCAAAGAAGTGCGAATGGGCAAAGACCCAAGTTTTGTATTTAGGCCATGTCTTAGACGGAGACGGCATCAAGCCCGAAGACAGCAAGATTGCAGCGATTAGAGATTGGCCGACACCGCGTACGTTGACAGAGTTGCGGTCGTTCTTAGGCCTAGCAAACTACTATAGGAAGTTCGTGAGGAACCTCTCCACCATCGCTGCGCCCCTTCGCAGATTGCTCAGGAAGGAGACCATCTGGAAATGGGATAAGGACTGCACGTCCGCTATGAAGAAGTTGAAACAGGCGTTGATAGAATATCCAGTCCTTAAAGTAGCCGACCCGTTCTTGCCCTTTGTCGTCCCTTCGGACGCTAGTCAGTACAGCATAGGTGTTGTGTTGCAGCAAGACGATGGCCATGGTAATAGGCCCGTAGAGTTCATGTCCGCCAGAATGCCTTCAGAAAAGGTCGCGACATCTACCTATGAGAGGGAACTCTACGCTCTCAGGCAAGCCTTAGAACACTGGAAACACTACTTGCTTGGGAGGCACTTCAAAGTCTATTCCGATCATGAGACGCTGAGATGGTTAAAGACGCAGGCCAAGATGACACCTAAGCTTACTAGGTGGGCCGCAGAGATAGATCAGTATGACTTTGAGCTCGAGCCAGTCAAAGGTATAACGTAGTTGCGGATGCGCTGAGTAGGAGAGCTACTTTGGGGCAATAGTGCATTACCTAGACATAGGGAAGGACCTGCAGCAGAAGATTAGAGAAGCCTATACGCAGGATCCTATCTATAGTGACCTCCTCAAGAGGGTCAAGGAGGCCCCAGAGACTGAGCCGAACTACCGCACTATTGAAGGGTTGCTCTTTGAGAAGACTAATGTATTTGACCGCCTGTGCATCCCCAATAGTGAAGAGCTCCGTAGTCTGATCTTGGGACAATGTCATGACACAGAGGGTCATTTTGGTTGGCAAAAGACTTTAGCCAATCCGATGCGCGCATACACGTGGCCAGGGATGAAGAATGACTGCGTAGAGTATGTCCGCAGTTGTAAAGTTTGCCAACGTAATAAGACCAGGACGCGCGCCCCGCTAGGTCTTCTCAGACCCTTGCCCATTCCRGATCAGTCGGGAGACTCAATGTCCATCGACTTCATGGACACCCAAGTCAAGAGTAGGCATGGTAAGAGCCAGGTCATGGTCATAGTTGATCGTTTTAGCAAATATGCAGTTTTTGTTCCCTTGCCGTCAGAGGCACGTACAGATTCAGTGGTACAAAAGTTTTTTGACTGCTGGGTTAGTGGGAATGGAATCCCACTGTCAATAGTTAGCGATAGAGATAGTCGCTTCACCAGCCAGAACTGGCAAGAACTTGTGGGAGTGTATGGATCTAAGCTGTTGATGTCGTCTGGCCTCGATCCTGAGACTAACGGTCAGACAGAGCAGATGAACAAGATCCTACAGCAAGTTATGCGCATGTACATTAGGCCAGATCAGATTAACTGGGATGAGATGTTGCCTAAAGTAGCTAGTGCGTATAATAACAGCGTCCATCTGTCCACCTGCCGCACTCCCAACGAACTGCACAAGTCTCTTAGACCGCACAGACCGTTTGAGGGACTCAAACGGGATCAGATTCACAGATTACCGCCCGGGACCAGGGAGTTTGCTGTACAGCACGAGAAAGAACTAGCTATTGTCGTAGAGAACCTTAGGAAAGCCCAGCACCGAATGATAGAGCAAGCCAACAAACATCGTCGCCCCTCACAGTTCCAAGTGGGCGACTAAGTCTGGGTCAGTTCTAAAGAGTTTGCACCTGAGGAGAACATCTCGCAAAAGTTACTGCCCACCTACAGAGGACTGTGGTCAGTCTTAGAAGTCAAGGGTGGCGAAGATGGACCATCCTACACCATTGAACTGCCCCTACACCTCCACACCTACCTAGTTTTCCATGCGTCAAAGTTGCTGCCGTGCACAGTAAGTGACCAGTTTCCATCTAGGCGATCTATGATCCCACCTGACATGGACGGGAGATACGACATTGACGGCATCGTAGGTGAAGATGTGTTCAGAACAGGAGGTAGAGGTCGTCCTCAGAAACAGTACAAAGTCAGATTTTCATAKCAAGAACCAGAAGACGACCGGTGGTTCACTAGRACTGAACTTCTAGAGACKGCTCCCGACATAGTCCGCGCCTACGAAAGAGATCGGAAAGGTAAAGGTCCTGCCTTGGACTGAAATTTTCTCGGAGGACCTCGAATTTAGGCCGGCGGGAGTGAAACAGTATTCACCGGTTTGCAGTAGCTGCTGCAGATCCCAGGGCTCGATCCCTAGATCCCCACCTTACCTGTGTACAGTATTTGTGTCAACCCGTAGAATTGAACCTGCGACCTGTAGGACCGCCAGTGGTAGGTAGGATTTCGTAGGTCACAGGGTAGAAGGGATTCGAACTGTAAACTTGTCGGGTAGGAGTCTAGACAGTCCAGAGGTCGTAGCTGTAGACTGTCTGAAGGGTCAAGGTCGTAGCTGCTACTTACCTGAAAGGGCAAAGTCGTAGCTGCGACAGTACCGAAAGGCCAAGACAGAGGTTTCTAGAAGTGGCCTTTCGGACTCAGCCTACGTTAGACAGAGGCAAGTGGTCAAGTGGTGGTAGTCCACCTCGTACAGTCAGCAGTCCCAGTCCACCCAGTCCGGTCCAGTCAAGCAAGTACCGTCTGGGACTGTGTGCCCCACGGGCCAGGGGTTACAGGGCAGACCAAYGCCTCAMAGAAGTATAAATCAAGGGGCTGCGCCCAGCCATTCATTCATTCATGCGGAAGCCATGCGGAAGCGCTGCCTCAGCGTCTTGTGCAAGGAGGTCTGTTGGAGGCCCGAAGACGAAGTGGGCGAGAGTGAAGCAGTGTAGCCATAGCGATAGGTAGCGGCAGCCATAGCTGCCATAGCTTAGCATAGAGTGCAGTGTGTGTGTACTGTGTGAGTGTTCAGAGTGATGTGCGTGGGATATCCAGGGTGATCCAGAGTGTGAACAGTGAGTTGTTTGAGGCGCACAGTCGTCATAGCCAGTGGAAGCGAACAGTTACTTGGAAGCCATATCTCTGAGTTTTGTGTGGGCGCATGTCGCCAGTTTGTTGTTGTGCTGTTCACGTGCATGAAAAGTGTGAATAAGTCGAGTCTGATTGCACGGCGAAGCGCTTCCGTTTTCTTTTAATGAGGATTCAACAAGGCAATGAAATTACGGCACGACGGTGGGACGTGAGTGGGCGGCGCATTGACCATTGGGAGCATGTGGCACTTGCGGTTTTGACACCAAGTAGTGTTATTATTGGAGAGCGTGGTGAGAGCGGTTTCGGCAGTTGGGACCATCCGATGCTACAAGCGGTAGTGCGGGACCACTTGGGACCGGTTGGGACAGACGTGGTGCCAGTTGGGACTGTTTTGGAAACAATATTTTTTGGGACTCGTGCGACTTGTCGTCATCAAATCTGGGACTACCGCGTGTGGGACTTGCGAATCGTGAACAGATTGGGACAAGCAGTTAACTTGAGACTTGCCTTGGGACTGCAGTTTTCGTTGGCAACAAGTATATTCTTTCTTGGCTTTCTTAAGTGAGCCAGGGCGCGTTCGGCACCACTTCACTCAAGGTCAGTCAGTTGATTGACTCAAATTTCCCTTCACACTTGTATGAACCCACACTTTACTTGACCCTGTTCATTGAATGTTCGTTGAAAAGGTAAAGGAAAGTCGTGCGTATCGTGCATGCGAATGGAAAGGTCTGACTTGGACATGGGATTGTACTGTTTTTTTCTTTTGAACTTGTTGTCTCTACGCGTTGTGCAGGTAGGTAGAAGGATGCTTGCAAAGGAGGTTGATTATGCCTACTTGAGAAAATGGAAAAGGAACGTCTTCTTTTGACTACTCACCTGCCTGCATGCCAAGAAGGGTTGGTTGTTTTGAAAAATGTCAATTTTTTACGCGCACCGTAAAACGAATTCGAATCAAATAAAGCAAATAAGGTCAAACGAATGTACCCTTTTCCCAAAGATTGACCATCTCTTTCCTGAATGACTTTTGTCTGTCTAAATGATTCTCATTCTCTATCTTTTTTCGTTTGAGTTACCTTGGGCAAGAGACGAAGGGAACAATTGAAAATCTACTTGTGGTGAATACATTTTTTTTTCTTCAGGAAGCATCTGGGGCGAGGGTTCGTTGCTTTAGGAGCCGACCCTGTTATCGACCCAGAGTGGACCGTTCTATGGGGGGGTACTTCGCCGATTCGGTGGAGACGGCCGACTTTTGAGATCCGAGTCTTGTGCTCGGACGAGGAGGAGGAGTACCCCAGACCACTTCCTAGAGAGAGAGGCATGCGACACCTCAAGCAATGCCCCTGATCAAGAATCATCCGCAAAACAGCCCGTTATCTAAGAAGATTGAGAAACGTATGGAGACGGGTGTGGGCGTGTTCAATCTTAGGTCCGCGGTAAGATGGAATGAATAACTTTGACAACGCATCTCATCAAGTCAAAACTAAGACAGACCGACTACCTTGTCGGCTGCATTGAGGTTATTGTTGAAAGCCAACTTCTCGTTGGCGGCTGTATGATTTTTGTGGAGATCGACCCGGGGTGGTCGAGTTTTATTTTGATTTTGGGTATCTAATGATGATTTTGACTCTTTCGATTATCATTGCAGACGGAATATACATTCTTACCGACTAAAGTAACAGTTCTTTTTTATATAACCATGTGTGATTATTATAACTCTCTTTTGACTCGTGTTTAAAGGGGCAAGGAGGTTTCACGGTTGGTTGAGACCATCCTTGTCGACTGGCTTTCACTTCGTACTGAGAAGATCATCGCCCTAAGGAATGAACGATGTCCGGGTTCAATAGGCATTTTAATCGCGCGTACCTATACTACAGCGAGCGAGCAAACGCCCACGGTTGACCCACCTCTGCAACTGCATTTAAAAGCTTTCGCACGTGGGTCAGCAACTCGGTAGGGATACGCCCCTAAGGGTGGTGATAGCCCCTTAGGGAAGCAAGCTTATGCCCCGCGGGAACCTGTCCTGTCGTAGGGGACCGCGGGATGTACAGTTGGCGCACCCGGCTAGAGCGGCGAAGGAACGACGCGACCTCGCACCCGTCTCGACGGTTAGCGAGATTATTTCGTGTCGTTCCCAAGTTGTCTCTTATGGTGTTTCTGTTTAACTCCTGCGTGACATGTCCAGGAGGGTCCTCGCTCGCGCGGGGGCCGATGAGCTCGACAATGTCTTCGCCTACAATGCCCTCAATGTCATACCTTTCACCGATGTCTGGAGGGATCATGGATCTTCTTGATGGAAACTGTTGGCTTGTGACATACGACAGCAACTTTGACGCATGAAACACAGGGTAGGTGTGGAGGTGTGCTGGGATTTCTATCATGTACAACGGCCCATCCTCTCCGCCCTTAACTTCTAAAATTGGCCACGGTCCTCTGTATGCGGGCAGTAACTTCTGTGAAATGTTCTCCTCAGGAGCAAATTCTTTGGACTTGACCCAGACAAGGTTGCCTACTCGGAACTGTGACGGGCGACGGTGCTTATTAACTTGTTCTATCATTCTGTGTTGGGCCTTCCTGAGGTTCTCAACGACGGTAGCTAACTCCTTCTCGTGCTGCATAGCAAACTCCCTAGTACTAGGCGGTAGCCTCTGAATCTGATCGCGGTTAAGTCCTTCAAACGGTTTGTGTGGTCTA